ACACACACACACACACACACACACACACACACACACACAGTGAGTCCAAGAGCCGCAGCGTTGCTCAGCGTGATGCAATTCCTAGGCAGCATTTCTGCTCCTCTGCCCCTCAGGCCCACGTAGGGGGTGGGAGGTGGTCTTCTCACTCTCCTCCTACTCCTTGGCTCAGTCCCGCACGGTGAATGGCGGAGAGATAGGGGTGCATCCTCCTAGCACGCTGCTCCCCTAACCCTGACTGCTCCTACAACTAGCTCTCGCCTCCCTGGGGGCGGCGCGCCCTCTGCTGGTTCTTTGTGATCCCTGCACTTGGTACTGGCTTGGGGGTGGTATGTAGGCTGGGTGGGTTTGTAGGCTCTGCCTACCTCAGTTTCAAATTCTGCGTCTGTGCCATTTTTGTGTGTATGGACCGATACTTTATGCTTCTGGATGTTTTCTCGAAGATCTCTTGGCCTTTAGTGTAAACAAACGTCCTGAGATTTTTCTCCAAGGTACTCAGATTTCACAAGAATCAAGGTTTGCATCATCTGGCTGGGGTAAATGGCCTCATTGGGCAAAGAGTGGTGACTGGAAAAGCAAGGATGTACTAGAAGTAAAGGACCCGAGTTCTGGATGCTGTCTACCCTGGTACATCTACGTTGAACTTGGAGTCACTTGTGTGGACTGTAAATTTTCGTTTTTAAATTAGTGACCTAATAGCATATTTATTTATTTATTTATTTATTTATTTATGTTTTGAGCTCTACCATCTTGTAGTTCTAAGAACCGAGTTAGGCCACTAATCCAAGTTCACCTCCCCTTTCCCATCAAAGGGACATGGCCTATTATTATCCCTTTGATGAGAAATGGAAGCTGAAGTGACACCTATCACAAATTTTCCTTTGGATAAAGAGCTGGATCAAGACTCACTCAATTCCTTCATGGTGATGTGATTGGAGTCTGGAAGGAAGTAGAGGAGAGAGACTTGGGGTGAATGGCTCTGGGATTCACCAGAAGTGCGAGTAGGAAGTCTCAGCATCACACCTCAAACACCCCAAAGATGTAGTTTTCCTTTAAATCCTCTGAGGAGGAAAGCACTTTGTCCTATGACCTTTCTGCAAGAGGTCAGCAGTGGAGAGGGATGGCCAGTTTCAGGTGCAAACACTTGCCTCAATTGTGAAGTTTAGACTAGTAGAATTAGACTCCCTGGGTTCTATCTACAATGAGGTCTTGTTTTGATAACCACTGAAAACAAAAATGCCTTGTTGGGACCAGTGTGATCCCAGCACTTGGGGAGGGGGGCGAGGAAAGAGGACCATGAGTTTGAGGCCAGCCTCGGCTACACAGTGAGTTCTGGGCCAACCTGTCTCTAGAACAAACAAAACTGATGAACAATCATTGGCTTTTAAAAATTGGTCTAGTTCTTAGGGTTGGAGAGATGGCTCAGTGGCTAAGAGCATTGATTGGATTCTGCAAAGGACCCCAGTTCTATTCCCAGCAGCCACACAGTGGCTCACAAACATCCCTAACTCCAGTTCCAAAGGATCGGACACCCTTTTCTGACCTGAGTGGGCACCAAACATGCATGTGAAGCACAGACATAAAATGAATACATTTAACTTTTAAAAATTAAAAAGAATGGTTTAGTTTGCAAATAATATGTGGCCGTCTCCCAGACGTTACTTTTTGATATGTTTTGTGGTGGTGTGGCATTAGTTTGTTGTCTGGTGAAGATTAAATATTCCAGAGCAGTTTCATAACTGTTATGAATTAACTTAGAAAATAAGTTTTCAGTAAAGACTTGAGATGATAAACTCCTGTTCAGCCCTCCTGAGACAGGGTAAGTTCCAACTAGTGACCACTTACTGTACTATTTTCTCCTTCAAATTATGTGTGTGTGTGTGTGTGTGTTGTGTTTAACATCAAATCACTTGTGTTTTTAAGTTTATTATTATTATTTTGCTTTGAGTGTGTGAGAGTTTTGAGTGCATGTCTATATACCATGTGTGTCCACAGAGGCCAGAAAGGGGCATTGGGTCCCCTGGAATTTGAAGTATAGACAGTTGTGAGCCAGCAGGTGGGTGCTGAGAACTGAACTCAGTCCTCTGGAAGAACAGACAATGCTCTTAACCACTTAGCCGTCTCTCCAGCCACAAATCACACGTTTTTGCTTAAAAAACAACAACCCAGAGCCTTTTGTCTTTTACTAGGGCTGAATAGATTTGACTGGTCAGCAAAGAAAGAAGTGGGGACCCAAACATGCTTGCTGTTGAGTTGGATGACTTATTAATGGAGAACCGATCACATGCAGATCAATCAGAAGGAGAGACAAATGTGAGATAACTCAGAAGTGACTCCACCCTGTAGCCAAGACTTCTGCAGTCCCCAGAGTGGAGAGATGACAAGTATGGGAAGAAAGTACTCAAAGAACGTCGGAAAGATCCATAGATCACTGCAAAATTGCCAACTAGTGTTACACACCCATTTCTTTAACTTGTGTCTTCTTTTGATAAATGTAACAATTCTTGATCCCTTTTAAGTGTTGTCTGGAGTTTCATAATGCATTATCATGGACTTAAAAAAGTATCAGAGCGGGCTGGAGAGATGGCTCAGAGGTTAAGAGCACTGGCTGTTCTTCCAGAGGTCCTGGGTTCAATTCCTAGCAACTACATGGTGGCTCACAACCATCCATTATGAGATCTAGTGCCCTCTTCTGGTGTGCAGATGTACATGGAAGCAGATTGTTGTATACATAATAAATAAAATCTTTAAAAAAAAAGTATCAGGGCAATTATCATATGAGCTATTGGGTTCTCAAATCACACTTTCGGAGCTGGGAAATGCCACACTTGAGGAGGCTGCAACCCTGCTCTGCACTACACTGGGGGCAGCCATATACTCAGGTACCACATAACTTGGGGTCATTGCTCTTAGAGACTAGCATGGCCAATATCCTAATGAAGGATAGTGATGTATCCATTTGATGAGGGAGAAGAGGATACTTCAGATATAGGATATGAGTCTGAAAGAAAAAGGAACCATGCCAGTTGAGTAGAGGAAGAACTGCTCTTATGTCTACAGCAAGTGGAGTGAGTTGGAGACCCTGGCCCTGCCACTCATGAGCAGTGTGACTGTTACACCAGCTAGCTTCCTTCTCATCTGTGAAGTGAGGATACTGCACATCTGCCAGAATGGTACCGTCTGAAGCCAGTAAAGGATCTCCGAGTAAACACGGCCCTATGGCTGACTACATATTGAGTGGTATTTCAATGAATGTTCATTGGGAGAGTTCTGCTGTCCTCAGCTGACCAGTCACCTCTAGTTGGAACAAGAGAGGGCTGAAGGGGTAGAAAGACTGCTGGAAGTCAGTTCTAACACCCGCACTCTGAGTGTGTATGGCTGGGCTGTCCCTTCATGGCTGCCAACCTTTAGGGGTAAAGGCAATAGAATTTCTTGGGGGTACCCCAG